CAAAAAACAAACAAACAAATAAATAAATAAAACATGCCTCTATTTAAAAAAAAAAAAGAGTTAAAAAAAAAAAAACAAAACCTCACATGCCAAAATAAAAATTCCAACCATAAAGATACCACATGTAGGGTGTCCATGGTGCCACAAGGGTTTAAGTCTCAGTACTATCAAGCTATCACCAGCATGAGTTTGATCCCTGGCCAGGAAGCTAACCCAGCAGACCTCTGTCTCACCTGCTGCTCCCCTCAGCAGTGTATTTCAGTAGATCCACCTGTTCTGTTCCCCACTCTGTCTCTGGTGAATCCTCTCCCCCACCCCACACCTCTGGCCTACACTCCAGCTCCTGTATTCATAAATAAAAAATTATCTTTAAAAAAATCTTTGTTTAAAGAAAAAAAGATACCATATGTAAAAACAGAACATTTTCTTGAAACATCCAGATATGTCTCATATTTGATACATAGTCTATTAGCCAGCTGTTCTGGAGCAGCGTGGATTTAGAATTTAAAAACGTGTAACTTTAGGGCCTCCCCGGTGGCGCAGCGGTTGAGCGCTGGGTTGCGAGGCTGCCCGTGACCTCTGCGGCGCCAGTTCGATCCCCGGCTGCTCCCCGGCCACCAGAGGAGGGTCCCACATGGCGCGCAGACCTCTCCTGCCGCCCGCTGCTCCCCTCAGCAGTGTACTTCGGTCCTTCTGCCTGCTCTGCTCCCCGCTCTGGCTCTGGTGAATTCTCTCACCCTCCCGCGCCTCTGACTGTACCCAGTGCATGTATAAAAACAAAACAAAACAAACAAACAAACAAATAAATAAATAACATGCCTCTATATAAAAAAAAAAAAAACAAAAAAAAAAGTGTAACTTTAGAGCTGTAAAATAAAGCATAATCTTAAAACAAAGGTATCTTTTTTAAAGACTCAAATATTTATTATTGTTATTATCGTGATCATCACCAGTATTTTTTTTGCAGTATTTTATCTACAACTAAATTACCCCTGCCAATTAGATGGTATTAATCTTCCCATTTTGAAAATGAGAAAACCAAGGCTAAGAGACTCACTCAAAGTGATCGTGAATGGCAGATCTCTAATCTAAAACATGCTGATCCATTGAAAAATCAGTGTGTTTAACCACAGTTGATCTATAGTCAATCAAAAACAAGTAAACAGAAACCCAAACCCCAACATTAACGATATCTCACTCTTAGAGGATTTCAAGGTTTTTAAGCAAAGATAATTTTTAAACTCAGGTACAATTCTCATTTAATACTACTATTTAAAAGACAGTTTGTTTCTTGGCCTCCCTGGTGGCACAAAGGGTTAAGCACAGCACTGTGAAGCTGTCCGCAGCCTCTGCAGCTAGGGTTCAATCCCCCGGCCCACCGGGGAGCAACCCACATGGCACAGCAGACCTCTCCTGTCTCACCCGCTGCTCCCCTCAGCAGTGTATTCAGTCAATCCGCCTGATCTACTTCCCACTCTGCCTCTGGTGAATTCTCTCACCCCCTGCACCTCTGGCCTGTACCCCAGTTCTTGTATACATAAATAAATAAATCTTTTTTAAAAAAGTTTGTTTCTTGCAAATGTACTCATAATAGCATGTTCTTTTTCAGAAATTAAAAACTTAGAGGAGGCAGCACAAATAATCCACACTAGGAACTTCCATACTTAAATTTTAAAGAAAAATGATTCTGCAAATATACAGTGATAGTCCCCCCTTTATCTTTGGGGGATAAATTCCAAGTCCCTAGGTGATGCCTGAAACACAACAGTACCAACCTATTATATATACCATGTCTTTTTCTATACAATATACCTGTGATAATGTTTACTTTATAAGTAGGCACAATAAGAACGAATAATAATGAAACAGAACAATTAGAGCAATATACTGCAATAAAAGATAAGTGGTGTCTCTCTGAAAACATCTTATTGTATGTAGTATACTCCATCATTGACCACAGGTAACTGATACCACAAAAATCAAACCCAAGGATAAAGGGGGACTACTGTATGCCAAATAAGTGCTCACTTCAGGGAGAGAACAAGGTGCAGGAATAAGGGTCTTGGCGAACTTTTATTTGGTATACTACCTACTATATTATTCCAACTTTAGAATACTTACCTTTCAACAAGTCAAAAACAAGCACCTGAAATCTAGATGGCCTGAAATATTTTTACTCCCTCTGTTCTTTTATCCTTTTTGGACATAAACATCTCAAAATAAACTTTCATAATCCAAAGGAGCATTTATAAAACTAAGGAAAAACAATATGCATTGTAACACTGATTTTAGACTAAGGACATTCAATTGAACAATAAGTGCTAGTAAATCTGAAGTATAAGAATGAGAAAACACAAAAAAATGAAAGCAATGATCTCTTTAAATTAAGGGGATATAAAAGAATCAATTTACCAGAAAAAAAAAAATCTTCTGAACCAAAAGCTCTGAAAAAATATTCAAGATAAACAGTATATTAACAACCATAATCAATGTTATAAACATGAAATATAACACATTATTGTGAAATTAAATGACCCTGCTACACTGCCAAAAATTAAAAAAAAATTAAAGACGTTCTACACCTGCATATCGAAATAAACACCATATGCAAGCAAAAATGGAAAAAAAAATACCTAATCTGATGACAGTTTTCTTCCCTAATGCAAACTTAATTGCCTCCAACACTGTACTACAGAGATATCTGAAGTGCTGTGTGTTTTAGTGAGGTGGCAGGACAGTGAAAGTGCACTGGATTAGAAACTGGCATGTAAGTTTGAGTCCCCTCATCTGCCAATAAAGTACTACAGGCATGTTATTTTACTTCATTCAGACTCAAGTTTCTTCATCAGTAAAGTGAGGATAGCAATTATTACCCTATCTACTTTACAAAGGCTTTCTATAATGCTTACGTGAAATTGAAAAAAAGATGAACCTGCATGTAAGGCTGTCGTGTGCATGACACAAAGAAAATATATTGGACTAAATTATCTTTTAAGGCCTTCCCGCCACTAATTTCATAATTCTAGTTTTATATTATTATACAACTCAGGAGCCATGTATCAACATAGCCAAATGAGGCAAGCTTATCCTTAAGTAATAGCTCAATACTACTACGACTTGACAGAGTATTACAATGCTTATAATATTACATAGCATTAACTATGTGTTGGGCATCATTCTAAATGTTTTGTATGCATTGACTCATGTAATTTTCATAGCAACAGAAATTGGTGATCTCAATTGACATATTACAAGTGAAAAAGCCACACTGTTGCTTATGAAGAAACTTGATTTGTGATAACACCATGGTATCTTTTTATATCATAGTGCTTAACTGTGTTTTTCAAACATCTTATTTGATTCTTGTAAGCAACCCCAAAAGGCAGAGAGAGCAGGTATTCTTTCCCCGATTCTGCAGAGGAAGAAACCAAAGCCAAGAAGTTCAGTACCTTTCCCAAGATCACAAGGGTAAAACCAGCCAAAACTATTAACAGATCCCAAACTTCTGCTTTCTGATACTAACCCAGAGTTTGCCCATCACCATTCTACCTCTGCAACTAAAATGAATAGATGAAAAACTACAATTCTGATAAATTAAACCAATACAATTGGATGTGAGTATATTTTAATATGAAACTGCTGATGCCATATAATGGAAAGTAACTTCTTGAATAGGTTCTGTCAAAAACACAGAAGGGCAAAATACCTCCGTAGCAAGGCTTCCCAAGAGATGCCTGTGTTTGAGGTCAGGGCAGGCCACCCCAAGATGTGCCAAGGTAGTGTGTATATATTTCAATTAGTGTTACTTGGGAAACAGCAGATGGAGAAATGCCACTCTAAACTTTCCTGTCTCCTAAAAGTAGGAAATAAATCTCTCATGTGAAGGTGCTCTCCCTGTACTAGGAGAGGAGACGTTTTATCACTACAAAGTTTTCAGGACCTGTTTCTCCCATGTAAGTAGGCTCTGCTTAGCTTGCTAAATTAGTGTCCAAACCAAAAATGTGAGGAATTTCGTTATCTAAAAAGTAGATAAGCATATTACACTGTTCAAGTCCCAGATCCCATATTCATTGAAATAAACCAGTATTTTTCTCCTGTTAATCTGTCTTGTATCAATTTAATTATTTTCCAGTTGTAAGGACCAGGAGAAAAATTTTCCTCCCCAACACCCGAAACTTTAGATAGTACTGAATCTTATGTTTTCCTATACGTACCAATGATAATTTATAAATTAGGCACAGTAAGAGATAAAAAACAACTACTAATAAAATAGAACAATTATAATGATATGCTCTATCAAAGTTATGTGAATGTGGTCTCTCCCAAAATATCTTACTGTACAGCTGTGGTTGATTAAGTCGACCTCAGCTGTACTTAAAACCTCAGAAAGCAAAATCCTGGGTGGGGAAGGGGAAGGAGACTACTGTCATGGCCTTTAACATACTTAAATTAAATACTTCAAGTACCCATGTGCTAAACAAAAGAAGCAAATACGAACCTCAGACCAAGTCTCTGGACTACAACCTACCGCTCATTTTTGGACTAAGGTGTGTCCTGTAGCCCAGAAGAAAAAAACAAATACAAAGAGCAAGAAAAGAAATGGCAAAAGGTTACTAATAGGAAAGAGGTAAAGTATATGGATAACACCTAAATTTCTTGAGGCCTCTCCTACAGGTGAATAACACCATGAAGCAAGAAGTATCACAATAAAATAACATGGCACCAAGTTACAGGAGTCCATTATCGGGAAAACCTCTATTAAAGTAAGGTGCCATAACTTATAATCAGAAGTGTCCAAGATAAGTCTAACTTACATCAATATGACTGTACTCAGTCATGTGAAAATGTGATCTCATTATAAAACAGAGTGTATAAATTGAAAAACTGTAATTAGAAGAGAACCAAAAGTCTACATAAGGACCCATTTCAGAAAGTAAAATCCCCATACAGCCCACCTCAATTTATGCCAACCAAATCTGGTTACCCAGACTAATACATACCTGGTAGAGTTCTTCTAAATTGTACTTAATTGAAGTACTATTCTGGATAGCTTCCACTGCTTCTTTCAGTTTCTGCCATGTTTCATCTGTGTAGTTTTCTGGTAATTTAGGTTTATCTGGATGATATGTAAAAGGCTGGTGTCAGAATAATATGTAGGATATAGTAATGGAAGGAGTCATAAAAGATGGTAATAGAATTACTGCTTTTTAAGGGTAAATTGTAATCTTTATAATTATTACATCTAACAATTAAAGTAGCCACTATAAGTTCAATTTTACAAAGCAAAATATCTGAAATACCAGGATACTGTTTAAGTCATTTTGACTCACCTATTAAAATTGAAGGTGAGTTTTTTCTCCTATTGACTGTATTGCTTAAAAAATGAAATTCAAGAATGACAGAAAAAAATAACAATCCTTATCTTATTCCATTGTGTGTAAAACCTAAGTCAACATGAATATTGTACCTGGGATGTAAAATACGGAGCACCTAGTACTTACAAAGCAGTCCATAAACATCTTAACCTTCCTAATAATGACATAAAGAAGATGCTACTATCCATATTTTGCAATTGAGGAAAGTGAGCCTGATAGACTCATTTTGCAAGGCTTGCCTAAGGTCACCATAGATAGTCAATAGCAAAGCTAGGATTCTAATCCAGGTCTGTTTGCTCTCCAAATTTATGCAACATCTACAGAAATGGAGAGAAACATCTTAATTCATGTTTTATTTTCAATTACATTTATAAGCTGTGAAACTGAAAAAAACCTGAAACATCCAAATGACTCCAGAACCTGTGCAGCATTTTCAGAATGGAAAGAAACATCTTACTCTAGGCTTTAATTTAAACTTCATTGACCAGCAATGAGTGAATTTTTTTTTTATTAAAGCATTCAAATGCCTTAATAATGGGATTTTATTTTAGGAGGGAAAGGAAAAAAAACCCATAGGGAAAAAAATCTTTAAAAATAGTATAAAGATACAATTCTGATCCTAGCTTATCTCTTTAAAAATCCCTGGCTATAAAACCACCAATATTTTTAAGTGAAACAGTGAACACATCAGTCAATTCATATTTACTTCAGAAAGGTCTAGCATTAAATCAAAAAGACTACAACACTCCTGAGTGCCTGGAGATGGGAGAAGAGTAATAGAAAAAAGAAAAGGTTAAAAATAAACAGCACTCTTAACACTGAGACAAAACAGAGCATATTTCTGATTTCCACACTAACTGCTGAAAACACAGTATGGAAAATCTAATTTTTTCTATACTAGTATTTAGCCACAAGGCGCTTATCTGACAAATATGACTTTAGTTCATTCATTTACTTCTCCATTTAATAAGTATTGGAGAATTTATCTGCCAGTACAGGGTGGTGAAAAAGTCAGTCAGAAAAACAGAAAGACAACAGATAAAAATTAATTCAATTCAATCACATTTTTAAAACTGCTAATTTTATATTTGCATCAATGCACTTATGATGCTTCCCAATCACATATCTTAAACACAAAATGAATAAATTTCCAAAAGCTGCAGGTCAGTACTTTAAAACCCATTTTAGTGATAAAAAAAATTAGATGTAGTAATTGCTCCTATCTTTAGACTAGTGGTACACAGAGTTACTACTTCTGTGTATAAAGTATTTTCTGCTTCCAAACCCTACCTCTGGAAAGAAATGCAGAGACCATAAATATTTTTCTCCAAACACTGCTTTCCCAAGAATATAGTATTCAACATTACAAATCTAATTATAAATCTCTGAGTGAAAACCACCATTGCTACCTGCATTTCTAGGGTCTAGAGAATGTGGCCTACTGAGGCATAAAAAGAAAAACCTCACCAGTGCTAAAGCTCACTATGTACCTGAAACAAATCTTAGGATACAAATTTCTCACCTGTAAAATCCGGATCAATCATACCGACAGTCAACGTACAAAGAATAACAGATAAGATACAATAGGCTGATAGAGACCTCAAAATACTGCACAGAAACACCCGGTGTATGCTTCAGCATAAGGCTTAACCACCCCCGGAAAATGAACCCTCCACCCAAAAAAGGACCTCCCTCCACCTCATTGATTATGCATAAAACATTAGGCCACCTCTATACTGTTTAATATATTAACATAAATAGAGCACGTGATCGCTCAAGTGTCAAATCCTTAGTAGGTGATTATGGATTTTGGCCTTGGTTACCTTTAAAGTTCTTGATCACTAACTTCTTAGCAGAGCCAGGCTTGCTGTTAGCAAAGCTAGAGACGGTGGTAGAAGATTTGGCTAGGCCGTTTGCATGATGCACCGAAGCCACAGAAGAGATTAATATACTCTTATTTTTAAGTTGCTGCTGCTGAGATGTTGCAGCAGTTGGTGAAGATGAGGAGGAGGAGGAGGAGGATTCCTCAGCCATCTTCGCATCAAACCCTACAAACTCCAGGGTGTCTTCAAAACGCAGCTTCTTCTGTATCGGTGCGTGGCTGGAAGCAGCCACTGAAACCCCCAGGCAGGAGAAGGAGGAGGTTGAAGGGGATGCCGAATCTCTGGGTTGTAAAGGAGGAGTGGAAGAAGAGGAAGAGGTGGAATCAAAGTCTTCTCTCTCGTTACTACTGTTACTGCTGCTGCTGCTGCTGCTGTTTAACTTTCTCTTCTTGGCAGAGGTGGGCGGAGTGGTGCTGGTATTACCATCAGTGGCAGATCTGACCTCCTGAGCAGCAGCAGCAGCTGAGGGATTGGGGGAAGAAAAACCTGTTGGAAACATGAAAATAGCGGGGTCAACAGGCAGAGGAGCATCAAAAACCTACGTTTATATGCCTGCGTGCGTGTAGGTGGTGGCAATGCTAGAGGGGGAAGGGAAGAAAGAAGAGAGGAGAAACACAGAGGACGAGAAGGAAAGTGAAGGGGGGGGCTACACCGGGGGAATGGGAGGGTTTGGGAAGGCGGATAGGCTGACACCAGAAGTGAGCAGAACGGGGGGGAGAGGGAGAGCGAATGAAGAGGCAGACAGGTAAACGGCCGTGCCGTCCCCCTCCCCTGCTTTTCGGTCTCTCTCCCCCCTTTCTGCCGGAGCGACTCCGTGAGTCTGTGAGGCTGCAGCTCCTCCTCCTTTCTCCCTCTCTCTCTGGGAGGGGAGATGCCGTGGTTGGGGGGAGGGGGAGGGGGAGAGAACCAGGGCTTGTTATTGTCAATAGCACAAGAGGCTAAAAGATGGCGACACTTCCGGTCACGCGGCGGCGAGGGAGGGGCGGTGTCTGTCCCGGAGTGGGGGGTGGAGAGCACTGCAGGCGCCCGGGGGACGAGAGCGCTGACTCGTGGGAAGGCGGCGGGAAAGGGGCGCTCGAGGCGCCCCGGGCTCTGGCGCTCGCGCCCGCCCCCCCCTCCCTCTGGCGCACCCCTGCCCAGGCAGCACTCTCCTTCCCCGGCCCACCGGTAACTCCCACCCTTTCCGTAACGGTCCCGCGGGAAGCTTCGCGCCGCAGCGCCCTTACCGGAAGTGACTGGGCAGACACTTTTCATAGCGCCCAGATCCAAGCCCCCAGGTCCGCAGGACTTGAGTGGGGGGGTGGGGGAGGGAGGAAAGGGGGGGAACAGAAGTGGAACGGGAGGAGGGGGCGGGCCTGCCACACACCTTCGGAGCTCCTGATTGGAGCCTTCTGAACACGAGGCGGGCCTTGGGGGGGGAGGTGGCGGGAGAAGAAGCGGGAAGGAGCTCGAAGGGGAGGGAAGATGGTGACGGTGAGGGGCGGGCTGAGTTAGCTGGGAAAAAGGAGGAGGAGGAGGAAGAGAGGGAGGGAGTAAAAAGTAAAGGAACAGAGAATGGAAACTTTGAAAGAGATAAAGAAATAAGGAGGAGTTGCAAGGCGAGGGGAGTAATCCGAAACAGAAGAAAACATAATCATGCCATTATGCCTGCTGCTAGGGAGGAATGTCAGGATGTTAAGATAGGAAAGAAAAAGAAAATGAGCTTAGACAGAAAGCAAAGGAATGTTTGATTCATTTGGGTTATACATTGTTTTTATTTTTATGTCAAGGACACCACGTACCCAAAACTGAATACGGCCTCAGTGTTTAATCTTTTTTTTACTCAGCTATGTAGTTGCAAATCCTTTTACCTTCCCATCAGGAGCATTTTCTAAGATGGCTGGCCAGACTAAGGGTGCTTTCTAAGGCCAAGAAACAGGAAGGGAACACCCCAACACACACAACCCCACTATTCCTAGAACCACCCCAGGTCTGCCAGTCATCAACCCAGTAATTTACAGAGTAAACAAACTAAGGAGGACCCACTTCTTTTACCAAATCTCACTTCATATGCTTGTCTCGAGACATTTTAGGAGAGCAGTATTGGAAGTCAGTGTTTTTACCAATGAATTTCAGAAACCCAGATTTTAAAATGGATTGCTCCTAAGAATACACCTCTAAATTTGTTCAAATCAGCAACAAGAAGCTTTGTAAATGTACTGTTGGGGGGTGGGGTGTTGGTATTTAACTCAAGGATATTTGGTATTCGGCGGTGGTGGGAGAACACAATGTCAAAACTAAATCTGCCAACCTGTTGATCACTCTAAGTGCAGAAACATTCAACCAACATATACCGAAAAATCCAAAATCTCTCTCAGGCCCCTGCCTTGAAATGCCAGCGTAAGTTTTTTTTAAAACTAATATCCCTTACAGTACTGTAACAAATATATAAAGTGCTGTAGGAATAGGTGAAACAAGAAATATGGGGGAATTTTGGAATAGTCAAAGAGTTTCACATAGAACTGATGTTTGCCCTGTGTCTCAGAGTGGGAGTTACCAAAAAGACAAAGGGGAGACGGTGGAAGTCATTCTGGGCAGTGGAAAAAGGCAAAACTGGGAGTTCTGAAAGGGCCTGGTCGGCTTATTGAACTATGGAAAGTGCAGTGAGGCTGGAAAGTAGAGTATCTCCTAGGAAGTAAGAAAGATGAGGCTCCAGAGTGCCTGGAATATGAAGCCAAACATTTTAGAGTCTACCCTGTAGATTAGGGTAAGACAGCATGGAGATTTAACAGGGAGGTGACAGAACTGTGGGTTGAGTGAAAGCAGTTTGTATGGCACAACTGAGATAGTGGAATCAGAATCCTATGAATAAATCAATTTTGTAAGTTCACACAGGCCCACTTTTTTTGGGGGGTGGGAAGGGCTGTCTTGAAAAGTCCTTGATTAAAATGCAGATCCTCCTAGAAAAGGTAGCGCTTTAGGCCTTTAGCTTCTGCTTAATGCTGTCTGATGACAACTGGCTGAGACCAAGGTTATAATGAAACTTGGGCCCCAGGGCCACAGAAAAGGAGTATAGACTGAGGCATGAAAGGGGGAAGATGGATTCCTATCAGTTTAGAAATATACCTTATAGTTATTACTGCCTAAAGACTAAACTCTTAAGGTCAGAAAAAACGTCCTAAAACATTAAATCCTCCTTTATTGTCTCACATTTCAAATGATTCTGAACAACTGTAAATGCTGAGTCAATATTTATTGAATATTTCATTGAATGAGGATAAAATAATGCTGTCTCTCTATAGGGGAGGGTAAACTGGCTATTTTTCAGAATTTAATGAACAAGGTTGTTCTAATTCATGTCCTTATAGTCCTCAGAGGGTGTATGAAAGTGCTAGCTATTTTTAAACTTACAAATACTAGTGCAACTAAAAAGAAATGGCCATAAAGACAAAAAAAGCTGCTTTTGCCAAAGATAAACTTTCATGCTAACATAAAGGACAGCTGAGTTCTGTTAATATTCAACTACATTCTAGTAATAATAGCTCTCAATTTGACATGGTTATCTAAGTCCTTCTGCCTTCCTAGTTACATTTGTTCTAAAAGCACAGATTCTTGGTTCTTGAGTTCTAGCTCACTTTGAATGACCCAGTAGTCTAACCTACTATTTAATTTTTCCATATACTATCCTTAACTGAGTTTTGCAGAAAAAATATTTTTCTTCAGTGCTTTAATAATCTTCCTTTGGACATTTTAATAACCTCATTTTATTTATGTGCCAGACCCAATCCTTGCCTATTTAGTATGCCTTAACATGGGCATATGACTTTAATAATGATTTTTAAAAATTTAACATTTACATTTTGTGGCACAAACCAACTTAGATATTACTATATGATGTATGAGGACCTTTGGATAAACTGAAAAAGAAAAACCTCCCTCCCACTGTTTCTTTGTAAAACACCTTTTACATCAAAAACCAATTAATTGGGGTTAACTAAAATATAAGCCTATAGTCTATATACCCAAATGTTTGCCAACCAAAAAGAAACACATTCTCAACATTAAAACACATTTTTCAAGGTTGAACTCACTGAAACCACAATAATCAAGATGTGCAATGTAGGACACCATACAATTACGGCCATTATCAGACTAAACCAGATTGGGCACTTAACAAATATTCCATATATAGAATCTTTCATCTTGTGAGTTCAACTTGTACCTTACAAACATTAATTAAACTTTACAATGCTACCAGATGAGGTGTAGTTATTATTGGCCTTATTTTAACCAAGTAAATAAATCTGTAGCTATATATAACATAAATATATTCATAAAGGAAGAAATACAAAGACAGGACATTTTCTAATGTCCATTTCCCTGTTTCTGTAGCATCTTCTTAAAAAAGAGGCAAAGTATAACCTGTATTTTTGCCTTTTTGGTCTTGGGGGTTCCCCGTGGTGCTTGGTCTTGGGTCCTCTTCAGACATCTCAGGGCAGGGGCTTATCAATGGATAGAAACTCCTGGTAGCTTTGTTATCCATAAGTGGGAATTCCCCTAAAACTAGGAGCTGCTACTGCTTCAGAAGACTACCAAAGACATTTCTGTAGTAAGCAATGTTTAAGATCATCTACAAAATCAACAACTGCACGGTAAAAAGGTAGTCCATGTCCTCCTTCTGCTTTCCTGAAAGACCATCTTTGAAGCAGGGAAATATACACAAGGCAAAGCAAGCAGTGGTGAGCTAATAAACATGTCATAATAAAGGCTTTGTTATGCTATCAGCAACATTTGGCTGCCTTGGGTGACTGAGGAAGACAAAGCTGAAGCAAAGATGTAAATTCACATTTTGACCATCCTGTAGTTGCTTTATAAAGCAAGGAACTTAATCATAAATGCTGAATTAAAGTACTAAGTAGCATGTAAATGAATAACACAGACTTCATATTTTTAATGGAATCATTTGTCTTCTATGTTAGGTTATCTCACCAACAGGAGACTTACTGACTGGGTACATCAACCATTTGAGGATTTAGCCCCTTAGCTCATAGATTTTATCTACTATCATACCCGTGAACCATCTGGAAAGCAGATTTAAGGACTAACAGGGCCAGGCTATTTTTCCTAGGGGTTTAGGGTGTAGGGGTGTAGGGGACCAGATCAGCCACAGATTACTTCTTCCTTGGGTGCTGCCAAGCGCTTACTTATGGAGTTGCTGGGCCTGTTTTTAACCTTCTGTTCACTTTATCAATAACTCTGATAGTCCCTCTACCCCCTCCCTGTTTTAAGATTTGATCTTTCAATGGCATTCAGCTTTTCTGTGTCTTTTAGAGTAGGGCCAACTTAGGTATAAGTCAGCAGCAGTTTCCAACTCAGATGGCACAAATGAATCGCCTGGGGAGTTTCCTTAAAAAAAAAAAAAAAAAAACACCTTTGCCCAGGTCTGAACTTAGTCCAGCTGAATACGAATCTCTGTGAGTAGGGCCTACATTACAGTATTTTTAATCAGCTCTCCCAGTGATTCTACATACCTCCGGAATTGAGACCCACAGCTGCAGGTGAAGTACCTACCATTGTGATTTGAAAAGGGCTAAGCCTCTCTGTATTTCCTTTAATGCCTGAAATTTCACAATTATTTATTCACCCCTTTTGATAAAACATAGCCTACTTCTCTAGGAATCCCTTTTTCACATGCAAATTAGCCAGGGAGACTTAGTTCCTGACCCTTTAAGGTGAATGCTTCTGGGGAACAAAGGAAAATACAAAGTCCTAACTGCCTGGAGGTAAACAGAAGTATGAGTAGGCATTGCAATGGGGGATGGGGAGGTAAAGTTACAGTCAAGGAAAGAAAGAGTTCTGCTATACATTTTGCTGACCTCACAGTATTGCCTGGGGCCAAACCTGCTTTTTTTGATGACAGCATTTTTAAGTTTTAGCCACGTTTTAGTTTAGCCACGTTTTAGCTGCCAAAATCATGTTCAACGAATACTTAAATCGTCTTTATAAGCAAAACAAAGGGCAGACATTGGAAATGCAGGTTTGGAGCCATCCATAAATGTCCAACTTCTGAATTATCAACTCACCATATGGATATTTCTCTGGCGAAACGATCTGTATTTCCTGGTTCTATTAAATGTCCTTTATTCCCACCAATAGCATGGTTTCTCTTGCCAATTCATTTGGTCATTCAACAAATATGTATTGAGCAACTACTCTGGGCAAGGCACGGTGCTAGATGTCATAAGGGAATACAGAGCTAATACAAAATTCCATTTGTAGTTGACTTTACAGCTTTTAAAGCACTTTCGCACACAGTTTTATTTTATCCTCAGAACTGCACTGTGGAATAGGTCAGGTGCCATCCCCATTTTACAGATGAGAAACAGGAAGAGAGGAGGAAGTTAAACCGACTTGCCAAAGTCACACAGCACGCAGACTTAAGCCAAACTCAGTTTTTCTCTAACTCCAAAAACTTCCCATAGTTCGCAATTTAGTAAGGAGACATGCCATAAAATTGCTTCTGTAACAATTAGAAAAGTTAGGAAAAGACATTCAGAGCCCCACTCACCAGGAGAAAAAAAATGAAGAATAAAATAACTCCTTTATTGAGATGAGCCATATCAGTGTCCAAAAGAAGACCAAGCTTGGATTCAGTTCAGGCTATAGTGAAGCAGGCAGGACACAGCAGCAAGAAACATACATTTAAGGCGACAGTGGCAGTTTGATTCTAGGGATCAGATCATTCCCAGGCTGAAGTCTCAGCCAGTGGCCGAGGTAGAATCCAGCTCCTTCTCCTAGCCAAATCGAGTCAAACACTGAACAAACCTTGCCTAAGGACCCGTTATGATGCAGTCACTGAGTATACAAAAGAGAACAATTGTCCTCAAACAGTTCTCAATTGGCCCTGTGGGTGAGGAAGACAATTAAGGACAGAGCCATAAAGGCTGCTATAGGAACACAGAGAGGACACCTGCAGAGCCTAGGAAGGTAGGGTATGGCGGAGAAAGGCAGCTAGTAGTGGGGGCAGTTAAGAATAGCAGCTAAAGAAATAATTGTTTAAATCCCTGAGGGTAAATGGGAATTAGCCAGGCAAGGGGAGTGGGAGGGAGCAAGGGGCACAAGGAAAGAAAACAGGGAGCACATTTAAATCTGGAAGTTGCAAAAGAAAGGGTGTATTCAGGAAATCTCAGAGACTAATTCTCAAGGGTATGGTTTTAGAACATACCCAGAAACCCTAGAGGGTAAGGAGGGAACAATGCAGTATCCCAGTCTCAAATGTGATACAGCAATTCCTAGGTCTCATAGTACCAGTGTTATAGGACAGCCCCGATATTGAGCAGGTTGCCTGGCTGTGGGTCCTCACCCCCGCGCTTAAAAGGAACTTATTAATACTCCACTACAGGCACACACAAAAGGTTAATAAAAGGTTTATTTACAAGGGAAAAGGAAATAAGGAAAATGTACAACTCAGGGAGTAAAAAATAGGGAAATAAAGTCTTTAATGCGTCCTACCCAATCCGCCAACCTGGAAACCCAAAGTCACTCTCAGAGCTGGCCAGGCTGCTGTGAGCTGTGGGAGAGCCAAAATGGGGGACCCCCTCCAAAGCCCACGTGTCTGACTTTATACCAACCTGACTGCATAACCCCACCCGCAGGTCCCAGCCACCTTCCCTTTGGTGGTGATGGGATTTGGAGTTCCCAGTGTCTTTGGCTTTGGTCTGGGGTGGGGGTGGAGTCCACAAAGCCTGTATGGAATTAGCTTTAGGACATTCTTTCCCCCTAACACCAGGCCTTGCTCTTATACCCTACTTGCTCTTGGAGCTATGGTTACTAGTAATAATTCTTGCTTTGAGTCACACTAGTTCAAGAATTAGACTTACAGGTTAGGCTCATCCTTAGATATAGAAGCTGAGAATCACAAAGAGCCAGAGAGGGGCTATGGGTGAGACATGGGAAATAAGATGCCAGTGGATGAACGTAGGACTAGACAATGCTACAGGAATTCAGATGAACTAAAGCAGGGTTTGGGAAACAATGGACAGCCAGTTACCTGTTTTTATAAAGAAAGTTTTATTGGACCACTGCCATACTCATTCATTCACATACTTTCAGTGGCAGCTTTGTGCTAAAATGAGAGTTCAGTGGTTGCAACACACCATATAGCCCACAGAGCCTGAAGCATTTCCTATCTAGTGCTTTATAGGAAAAAAATTGCCAATCCTGGCCCTTGAATACACGGAGTGCTAAAAAATTGAGATATGGAAAGCGTTTAGAGATGGCGTAAAGGAGGAAGTGATTGAAAATACACTAAGAACTTTCTGTTCTAGTCTGCATCAGCTTTGATAGAGACTTCAAAGAATGACAAGAGAATATTCTTCAATAGAATGACTAAATAAATTGTGGTACAGGCACACAAGGAAATACTACATAGCACTGAAGAATGGATTGTAGCTACTTGCATAACTCACAGAAATGTTACATGAAAAAAGCAAATCACAAGAATACATATGATCTGATACCTTTTTTTGTAAAGCTCAAAAATTAGGTAAATTTGTGGATATATTATGTGGTCAAATTGTTAAAATATAGAGGGGAGGGCCTCCCTAGTGGGGCAAGGGGTTAAGGCGCAACCTATGAAGCTATCTGCAGCCACTGCAGCATGAGTTCGATGCCCCAGGCGGGCCAGGGAGCTACCCACATGGCGCAGCAGACCTCTCTTGACTCACCCACTGCACCCCTTAGCAGTGTATCTCAGTCAATCTGCCTGTTCTGTTCCCCACTCTGTCTCTGGTGAATCCTGTCACACCCTACCCCCACACACACCTCTGGCATACACCTTCTTGTATGCATAAATAAATAAATCTTTAAAAAATATATTGAGGAGACACCATAAACACAAGGACCAGGAAAGGGGATTGCTCTGGGGGAAGATATGTTTAAACTTTTGACAGAGTGCCATATTACCTTTCAGAGATGTTATGCATACACTCCCACCCTCAGAATGCTGGCTGGTTGTCCCACACCATTAGCAACAGTATATTATCAACCTTTCTTGTAAACCAACAATAAATCAATAAAAAATAAGTATTATTAAACTTTAAAGATCTTGTCAAAACATTACACGAATTCATTTTCACCATAAAACAACAAAGTAAAAGCAGAATTGCCCTCTGTACCACCATTCCCTGATCTGTTGGGAAATTTATTTCTACCTTGCTATTAATTTTTTATTAATGGCTACATTATGCTTGATCTTGTTAGGAATACCTCTTTAATAATTTATACAGGCTTCCTAGACATATTCTTAACTTTTTTTTGGACTTAACTCATAGTTTTACTAGTTCATTTACTTACCATTATCTTCGGAGATGCTTCCACCATCACTCCCATTCCCTGATCCAGATGATTGGGACATCTTCTATCTTTGGGGGGGTTATATTAGAAAACAGAGAATTCACTTTACAGCAGCCCTCTGTCAAGGATTCACTAACGGTGGTTTTTCACTCAATTTTACCCTATTTGTTTCGTTAAGAAAATTCTCACAATTTCGACCCGCTAATTTTACTCTTTTCTGTTATCCCTTGTGTATTATGACTGTATGCTTATATTTCTTTTTCTTCCTTCATTTAGTTAATTCAGGGAGAAAAATATTTGTTTATACTAACATCTTAAACTAGAAGCCTGACATGCCCTTTGAAATTCTCATTTAAGTTATGACGGCTTGAAAGCCAAAAAAAAAAAAAAGACTCCCCCAAAAGTGTCTTCCAATTATTTGGGGGGGGTCGTCTCAAAGTATAATCTCACAAGTGATCTGAACCAGATCTCTAATTAGCTTCTACTTTGGCATCTTCACTAGGCTACAGGTTAAGTTCGGCACTAACACACTTTTCCCTAAACTCTCCTTATCACAGGTGAGTAAAGGCTATAACTTCTTAATACGCCTTCGAATTGTCTGGAGATAACGAAAGCACAAACATGGCGAATAATGGAAATGCCTGAAGATGTGGCTTCGCTTGGGGTCTCTTGTCCCGAAAGCTGGTCCACGTTCAGTAAGTTGCTAAAGGAAAGACCCTCCCATGTTTCATAATCATGAAGGGGGCATTTTAACTTACCGGCCCAGAACGACCAACAGGATTTATTGTTCTTGTTGTTTCATCTACTTGGATCTCAAACCCGAAGGCTCTGACACACGCTAGCAACGAACTACGTACCAAGGTCTGCCCACCCAAGTCAGCGCTCCTTTTTTCAACAGCACAATGATGATTGACAGCGGGTCTGACCAATCCCCTCAGGGGAAACCCCATTTGACTAACAGGGGTCTGGGTGGCACCAGAAGCAAACTTTAAGTTTCGAAAGGGTCTGATAGTGAATCGGTAACGTTTCCCTAAGTTTGGGTTGTTTTGTCTCGAGTAAACCACCGAGGGGACATTGGATGGTCAGCCAGGGTTGTTCTGTGCCCAGACTGACATAGTTTCTACCCTGACCTGACTGGTGGCCTCTTTCCACTGCGTAATAATTAAACTCCGTCATCCCCTTGGGTCCCCAGTGTCATCACCCAGTGAGGAGGCAGTGAGGTGGCAGGCACCCCATGTGGTCCCCACTTAGGAGGGTGAGGTGCAGTGGGGAGTGTGGGTTTTACCCACCAAGGGTGGAAATCTAGGCTCCCACTTCGCCGCTGCTGGCATGGGGGAGAAGGAGGCAACAGTTTCTCCTACAGTATTCGGCTAACGTTGATCGGTTATTTGAAATTTTCTGTCTTGCTAGTTTGCTCATTCCCAGGTCTTTCGTCTAGACACAGCAGAATTTCGTGCACTTTATCTGTTTATGTGAGTAGGTGTCTCACACATCTCTTTCCACTGTCATCAATGGAATACTCCCTTTACTCCTTTTCTAGTTATCTGATTTCTAGAATAAAAGAAAATTATTGGAATAAAATAAGAGAATATTAGTTGTAAAATCTAAGTGGTGGATATATTGGTGTTCTGTGAAACTCTGAACTTTTCTGTATGTTTAAATTTTTAAAAAATAAATGGAGGAAAATAAAGCAAAAGGGAGCTACATCATAACACTTCAAATAAAGAAAAATGAAAGCTCTGGGAACCTGTATGTTTGTTACACCCAGCTTGTATTCGTTAGGATTCTTGTTTGCGAGTGACAGAAATACAATTTGAGTTATCTTCCGAGGAAAATGGAGCTTATTGGTTTATGTAACTGAGGACAAGGCAGATTTCAGACACCCCTGAATCCAGAGACTCAAATGGTATCTAGGTTCTCACTGTTTGTCCTCCTTTTTAGCTTCTCTCTGTGTTGCCTCATTCTCTAAAAATCTTCCACGCAACAGAGACATTTTCCAACTGCTATGGGGATATGTCCTTTTAGTACAAGATAGAAATGAGAAAGCTACTTGTTTACACTAATTTGGAATATTTCCTTTCTTCAAGGTTTATTTATGCATACAACAACTGGGGTGTAGGCCAGAGGTGTGGGGGGGGAGGTGAGAGGATTCACCAGAGACAGAGTGGAGACCAGAATAGGTGGATCTACTGAACTACGCTGTTGAGGGGAGCAGCGGGCAAGACAGGAGGTCTTCCTCACCATGTGGGTTAGCTCCCTGGGTGGGATTGAACTCGTGCCCCAGTGGCTGGCGATTGCTTGATAGCACTGTGTCTATAACCCCTGTACCAGCAGGGAGGCCCTAATTTGGAATATTACAAGAAAGGTCTTCTGTCTCTGACCTGGGTCACATGCCTACACCTTGGAGCCGCCAGAGTCTAGCAGGATTTGATATCATGATTAGCCTACCCTGGATTAGGATGTGGAAGGAGAATAGGGCAAGGTATTATCAGTGCCTGTCCTAACAGGACTGTATTGGAGGAGCAGATCTCCAAAGGAAGAGGAAACATATTACCGGAAGTTGGGAGGAAGCAATGTTGGGCAAACCAAAATGGGATATGTTCACTGCATACAATACTTAATTGGAATAGTTTTAAAATTGCATTTCTTGGGGCCTCCCCAGTGGCACAGCAGGTCGAGCGCCACGCTGTGAAGCTGTCGCAGCCTCTTCAGTGAGGGTTCAATTCCAGCCGGCGAGAATCCCACATGGTGCGGCAGACCTCTCCCGTCTTGCCCACTGCTCCCCTCAGCAGTGTATTTCTGTCGTCTCCCTGTTCTGCTCCTTGCTCTGTCTCTGGTGAATCCTCTCACCCCCCCGTGCCTCTGGCCTGTACCCCAGCTCTTGTATAAAAATAAATAAATCTTTAAAAAAAATTGCATTTCTTGGATTCTCGGTGCATATAGTCATATCACCTACAAATAATTACACCTTTTTCTTCCTCTTAAATTTTACATAGCTTATTTTATTTTCTTGATTGTTTCAATCTTCAATACAATAAAGTGGAAATATGTGCCTTATTCCTGAATTTCATGGAAAATGACAAGAGTATGGTACTTGCTCTTACAAGTCTTTTTGATATTCTACTATGTTTAGAAAATGCTCTTCTAGAGGCCAAGGGGTTAAGCTCAGCACTACGAAGCTACCCGCAGCCACTGCAGCACTAGTTCAATCCCCAGCGGGCCAGGAGCTAACCACATGGCACCGCAGACCTCTCCTGTGTCACCCGCTGCTCCCCTCAGCAGTGTACTTAAGTCAATCCACCTGTTCTGCTCCCTGCTCTGTCTCTGGTGAATCCTCTCACATCCCACACCTCAGGCCTACACCCCAGCATAAATAAGTAAATCTTAAAAAAACGAAGTCCTCTTCTAATCTGTTGTGTTTAGAGTTTTTTAAAGGAAATAACTGCTGGTGTTTATCCAGTACTTTTTGGCTGTCCATTGACAGGTAAGATTACATAAAAGTGACTCCCTGGTGGTGCAGCGGGTTGAGTGCAGTGCTGTGAAGCTGTCCACAGCCTCTGCAGTGCCAGCTCCATTCCTGGCTAGCCAGGGAGATACTCACATGGCACAGCAGACCTCTCCCATCATGCCCGCTGCTCCCCTCAGCAGTGTATTTTGGTCCTTCTGCCTATCCTGCTCCCCACTCTGTTTCTGGTGAATCCTCTCACACTCCCATGCCTCTGGCCTGTACCCCAGTTCTTGTTCTTGTATAAAAATAAATAAATCTGGCCTCCCCAGTGGCGCAGCGGTTGAGCGCTGGGTTGTGGAGCTGCCGGCAGCCTCTGCAGCGCCAGTTCTATCCCCGGCTGCTCCCCAGCCACCAGAAGAGGGTCCCACATGGCGCGCAGACCTCTCCTGCTGCCCGCTGCTCCCCTCAGCAGTGTACTTCGGTCCTTCTGCCTGCTCTGCTCCCCGCTCTGGCTCTGGTGAATTCTCTCACCCTCCCGCGCTTCTGACTGTACCCAGTGCTTGTATAAATAAATAAATAAATATATAAATATTTTAAAATAAAAAAAAATAAATAAATCTTTTTAAAAAAAGATTACATAAAAATTTAAAAGTTTGTAAGGAGGAGTGACCCCAATCACTTGGAAACAATAAGGAAAAAAACTGGAATTTAAACACCACCTTCTGGGAAACTATAAGATAAATGTTACATGAAAACACCACTCATGACAGGTGCCTGAAGGATGACTAGCACTAATAGAAGTGCTCACAATATGTCATGGGCTTTTCTAAGTGCTCCACATAGGTTACCCCAGCAAAGAAGGTTATCATTTGTAAACAGAACCAGAGAGATCTGGAAGTTCATGATCTAGCTGACTCTGTGAAAATTTATTGAAAACAAAAAAGAAAAAAATAAAACAAATAAGAGAAAGAATTTTTAAAATTCACTGAACTGTACATAGATCATTTGTGCATTTCTGTATGTTATTATCAGTAAAAAGTTTTAAAAATAGATTAAAAAACAAATAAATGAAAATGAAGTATAACTGGAGAAGTTACAGCTGTGACGGTAAATAGGGATGATGGAGTATGCTAGACTGATAAAGGGGGAAGAGTGGAAAATGAGGACTTCTACTTCCCACATCCAATTCCCAGAATACAGGCAGCCAGACTTAACATCTCAGGTAAGACATTTAAATTACCCTTCTCTGGAAAACTGAACCAGACCAGAAAAAAGATTAAAGATACCCCAACCAAAAAGCATCCTACCATCCAATCACCACACAATGAAGTCTCCTCTGAACTGCTTCAAGGTACCTGGAATTTCCAATCAGTGTCAGTGTTTTAGTACCACTTTATTCAATGTGAGCAAATTACAAAGAACTTCAGACAATTCAAGGAAAGTTCCAACATGAAAGCCAGAGGCCAAACCGAAAAACAAAAGAGGGGAACTTGGGTACAACAGAGACAATGCAGGGAGCCAGTGAAAACATCAAACAAGTGGCATGCTTATATTACAAGTAATATATTCAGAAAAATCAAAGACAATGTCATATTCATAAAACATGAAACAGGAGTGAAGAAAAAGAGGGCTGCATAGAGACATACCATTGTGAGATTTCAGAATACCAGAGTGAAAAGCAGACTTTAAAAACTTCCAGAAGTAGGGAATAAAGAAAGTTACCGTACAAAGGATTAACAATAAGAATGACATTGGGGGCCTCCCTTGGTGGTACAGGAGGTTGAGCACAGTGCTGTGAAGCTGTCCGCAGCCTCTGCAGCGTTGGTTCGATCCCAGCCGGCCGGGCGAGGGTCCCACATGGCACAGCAGACCTCTCCTGTCGCACCCGCTGCTCCCCACAGCAGTGTATTTTGTCAGTCTGCCTGTTCTGTTCCCCGCTCTGTCTCTGGTGAATCCTTTCACCCTCCTGCGCATCTGGCCTGTACCCCGGTTCTTGTATTAAAAAAAAATAAATAAATCTTTAAAAAAAAAAAAAGAATGACATTGGGCTTCTCAACAGAAATAGCTAAAATTGAAAGTCATGCTTTCAGTATTCTTAGTGAATATTATTTCCAACAAAGATTTCTACAGTCAGTCAAATTACCAATTGAGTGCTAGAGTAGAATAAATACATTTTCAGACATGCAGTGCTCAAAACTTTTTCCTCCTTTGCCCACTCTAGTAAGAAGCAAATGGAGGACATGCTTCACTAAATCTAAAGAGTAAACCGAGAAAGAAAACATCCAGGGAGCAGGTGATCTGACACAGGAGATTGGAGTGGGTCGACAGAGGGCTCTGAGGGGGAATGGGGGGAATTGATAGATTATTAATTTAACTATGTGGAAAATTATATGGAATGTTGTTTGGATAGCTTGGGAAGACCTAGCCATAGGTAGTAACAAGACTGTCTGCCACGTCTAAGTGTGAAGGCTGTGCACTGCACAACCCTACACAGCTCATTGGAAAACTTAGCAAATGAAAAGGATTGAACACTATTAAATCCAGAAAAAGAAAAAGTAGTTTAAGAAAGGAAACATAGGGGGCCACCCTGGTGGTGCAGGGGTTAAAGACACAGCTATCAAACTATCACCAGCCACTGCAGCACGAGTTGGATCTCCAGC